GATTTTTACACGTCTAAAGTAGGCTTGTGATATGAACCTGCAGCAGACATTAGAAGGACAAAGCAATTATAAGTTCAATGACGATGTATAAATAAAAGTCTGTAAGAATCGTTTAGGCCTAGATTAAAAAGGAGGTCACCACCTTCAAGAAAAGGAGTCATGTAAAGAAGGATTCCTCACATTTGTCTTAAAAGTTTGTAATGCAATTTGGGATAATGAATAATATTAAAATATTTTTATAAATGTAAGACATGACATTATTAGATTGATTAAGAGACAATTGGAAGTATATAATTATCGTTAGTAAGTAATAAAATCAAATATTATATCCAAAAGAACTGTTAGCTGGTCGAGATTAAACAAATAAAATATTTAATTAGCTAGATTAAGATATGGGATGAGATTAGTTGAAGTTTTTTTTTTTCTTTCACAAACATGATTCAGATATGATATTTTAAGATTGACATCTAATAATTAATTTATATTAGAAAACTAGTTGAGGTTTGAATTCAAATGATAACAAGGGATAAAAATATTAAGAAAAATCAATGAGAAAACTTTTAGGATCATTTGGCGTTCATAACAATAATTCCAATTGGATTAATTATCTTCCCTAGTGGCCAGTGCTCCATTAATTAAGCCCTTCAACAAAATTAATAACTAGCATTTATTTCCTAGCTAGTGCTCCAATTAACCCCTTCAACAAAAACTAACTTTTATTTCCTTTCGGAAACGTCCGTGACAGACCTTTCCCTGTCTGTTGGTTACAAGTGTGGACAAAAGAAGCTCTTAATTTAAATATAATAAATTTACACTTTTAATATTATCATTAAGTACAATATATGTGAAAATGAGTCTATATATAACTTTTAATACAATTCTCTTCATCATAATAATCACTTAAAATGAAGTTTATTTATCCTCATTATCTCTAGGTTCAGTTATACAACCGTTGTATTATTATCAAAAAATTTAAACCGTTAAGCAAAAACGCATCAAGAGTTTTTATTTATATTTCTACCGTTATACACTGTAGAAACAGGATTGAAGCGTGGTAGCTATATTCCAGTGGTAACGTTTTGATTTATATGATTGGAGCAACAGATAGAAATAGACGACAAGACCCTGAAATATTCGGGATATAATACAGTAGTAGTCGATGTATTTTCAGAAAATACATGCAGACTTTCTACAACCTCCTCATTAGAATGCACAATAGTCAAACTCCTTATAATAAATGATTCATAATCTTTTCCCTTCTGTAAACCATAAGACAAGATCCTTAAATTGAAAAAGAAAAAAAATTTGAAAGAATCTGACACTGCCATACCCTCATGTTTCTCGAATATATTTTCCATCAGTAGGATTTTTACACGTCTAAAGTAGGCTTGTGATATGAACCTGCAGCAGACATTAGAAGGACAAAGCAATTATAAGTTCAATGACTAAAATTGAACGGTCAAGTGATAAGAAACGAGAGAATATAGTAGTATTTTGTGTATTAATGTTGGGGTAGAGGGTGTCACACCGGGCGTGCTTGCGAATGTGGGTCTCTAGCTGGTCCGCGCTGGGCGTGACTTGAACCGCGCTGGGCGTGACTTGAACCGGAGTACACCGGGCGTGGAGATGAGATTTTAATATTTGCTGGTTAATGTTATTTTATGATAAGATGAGTTGAAATAGATAAATATGATGTGGTGACTAGTAGATAATGATGTTGATGATGTTGGGCTGTATCAGATGAATATTGTTGTAAGATGTGTTGATGTGTTGTAAGATGATGTGTTGTGTTGTGTTGTATGTTGGCTGAGTTGCTGTAGGCCGTGATGGCTGAGTTGTTGTAGGCCGAAAGACTGAGTTGTTGTAGGCCAAAAGACTGAGTTGTTGTAGGCCGTAAGGCTGAGTTATTGTAGGAGATCTCTGAGTTGATATGCGTGACGACACATTGTATGCTTATGGATGATTATGCTGTAAGAATTGACGGGATGCATATTGATGAAGTGTTGATAATTGTAGTTGTTCTTATTACTTAAATCTTCCTATATATGGTTTCTTTTTATGCTAGCTTACCCTTTTTTTGTTTCCATGTGATTGGACTGCAATGATCATACTATGTATGGGAGCAGAGCAGGGATAGGTGGTGTATCTGTAGCTGGTAGGTGGAGCTGACTCCTTTTGATGCTTTGTTTGTTTCAGCCACTTGGCATAGTGGCTTTGGATGTATTTTTGTGTTGTACACCCTAACTCTAGTCGGATTGGGACATTTGTATATACTTATATTCTAGATCCTATATTTATATACTCGTTCTATTCTGTCTAGTGTTTTCGGTGCGCTGTGGTTGTGAGTGTAGTGGCCAGTCGGGTCGTTACACATTGGAGTGGTTATTCGTCAATATTAAACCTCATTAGAGATTTGAGTAAATAAATCCTTATCAATTTTATGTAATTTAATATCAACTTTATCTTCATCTATAAAAAAAAATGATACCTTGTTAAAATAATACATATATAACAATAAGTGGTTAAGTGGACCATTGGTTGGTTGGGCTAATAGAGATGTAAATGGGTTAGGTAGACAACCATACCCATCATGGGTTCAACCTGGGTGGGCTATGTTAAAAGTGGGCCGAGTTGGATTTTTTGACTAATTATGAAGTTCTTGATTTTTTAGCCCGACTTGACTTGTTTTCGAGGTAGACCAAGTTGATCCATGAGTTAAACCCATTTTGACAATTCTACTTCTTATTATGTCACAATTAATTATTATTTTTATTTTGGCTTAGATATTTCTTTAACACAACTTGAACATTTGAAACAACTTAGACACGAGTTAAGAAAGTGAGCCAATACTTATTTTTAGGTAAATACTTAACTAATACTAATATTATAATTTTCTTTTTAAAAAGTCAGTTTATTTTATCAATATTGAAGGATTGTAATTAATTTTTTGAGACTCATTTTCATTTAAGAACTACTAATTATTTTAACTTTTAAGAGATAGGTTCTTATTCTTATTTATTTTTCTTTTCCATAAAGATTGCATTGCGAAATGATCCATTTTAATATTCTATTTATAAAGGTTGTTATCATATGAAAGTTGTAAAGTTTACTAATTTTGTTTCTACTAAGTAAATATATAAATCTAAATTCTCAATTAAAATTTTTGTCATGTTGGCAGAGAATATAAGAGAAGAAGTATTGTGTTTATAATACAAAATAATTTATAATAATTATATATAATAAAAAATTATTTTATTAACTATTTACTATCATTTTTGAAAATTGAAACATGGATGATAAATAAAAATTATTGTTATAATAATAATTATTTTATTATTTTTTTAGTCAAATTATTTTTCATTATTGGAATAGTGGGAGAGAGGAGACTTTATTATCATTTTAATTATTTTAGGGAATGTAATCAATTAGCACCGAAGTGCTAATCAATTTTTTTTATGTGTGTATTTTGTTAGAAGAGGGGATAACAAAGTGTGTTAAAAATGTATGTTAAAAAAATTGCATAATTGATTATAGTTTACCACATAATTGTTTATGTTGTACTTTTTGACGCATTTCTTTATTCTTCTGCATATTCAAAATTTACTCGCATTACTTCACAATTTCACGAACTATCACTGCATCAAATGAAGGTGAATAGTGACTTACCACTTTTTTTGCGGTTCTGCATTATTTTTTGTTTTTACCAAACGCGTTGTTAATATCATGTGGCAGGCTTGCAAAGTAAAGATAATATTCAATTCTGGGTTCTATTAGGCGACAAACTTGACTTATCAAAAGATTTTAGGTGGTGTACTTTCAATATATTATTATGCAATGAGTTGTGGCAAGTAGGTCAATCTTCTGCAGGAACAAATGTTTGGGACCCAACGTAAACATGCAAGTCCTGAAATGCTACAAAAATAACCAAAACGTGCACCCAAGCAAACCTGGCAAAGGGAACCACTGCGTTGATTTAAAAAGGGTCAACTGGTTAAAAGAGAATCCACATTCTACATGTAGACCTAGAACATGTTTTTTTATCATTAAAAAAAAAAAAAAGAATACACATCCCAAAACACCAAATCTAAAAAAACGAACACAGTTTTGTGAATTTCTAACACGAAATCAAACATACATATATAGTCATGCATGTCCTCTTTAGAATTCCAGACTCAATTTTTTAATTCAACTAGACACAGTTACGTGTCTCTCTATTTCACCTCCCTATATTTTTTTCAATCTTTTCTCTTAGATATAAAATGGGGCATTTTTTTTTATATCAAAATTACAATAATAACAACCTTTAAATTGAAGACTTTATGTATTTTATGTCAACTCCATATCTATCTTAATTCTATATCATTGAGTCAATTTTAAGCTGTTTCGTTTTGAAAATGGTAATATACGAATCTTAGAAGAGAAAAAATAAGTTCAAAATAATAAACAATTGGGGGAGAGAAATTTTTTATATTAATCCATTCAAAATATCATCAGACTACATTCAGGAAATGAGTATAACTTTTTTTAATGTAAAAAAATTTAGATAACTTGTTAGCATCATAATAAGTCAACAAGACTTTATAAATACTTACACATTATCGATTAATAAAATATAATTGAACTCATAAAAGATATGAGTTTCATCCTTACAATTCTTAGATCTTATTTAATTAATTGAGGTATACTCCAATGAAATTTAGATTAGCTTCATTCATGACTTATTTTTTTATTTATAGAAAACCTATCTTAATAAGGGTTTCTAAGTTAACTTAATAAAATATTATTTCTTAGAAATATACATTACACCACGTTTGTCGCGTGTTTTTTTTTTTATTTGAAGAGAAGAGATTTTGGAAGTGGTCCAGAAAAGGTGAGTTGGAAAGTTCGTAAAAAGCTTTGACTCAGATGGATAACGCACCTTTGGAGCAAGCAACTACCTCGGTTGAAACTTGAAAGCCAAGAAAAACACGAAGGGAAGTGGTTTTCACTTTTCCACGAGTACACGCCTCAAAGAGAGGCTTAACAAAAATAATATATATTCTAATAAAACAAAATGGCCATCATCACATTTCTGTTCCCTCATACACCGAAGCGTCAAACGCAAACTCTGCAACGGAGCTTAGGATTCCGCGCTAAGAAATTCGACGAGGTGAACTTTGAATTCCGATTCTCGCGTTTTCCTTTCTATGTTTCTCCTTCTTTTAATGATGATAATAGTTCTACGTAGCTGATAATTGACCGCTATCACCGCCGATTCAGGCGAATTTGATTCCGGCATTACGGTGTCGTTTCGAGTTTGTGATCGTTGATGTTGTGAATTGGATGCAACTGTTGCTGTGGAATTTTCGATCCTATCGGTTTTTTCTTTGGTCATTGAAAGTCGTCGTGATTTTGGCTTCGATCTTAGGAGCAGAACAAGTTGGACGCGGAACAGCGTTTGCTTGTGTTATAGTTATTGTAGTCATTGCTTGTGTTATTGGACTAGCTATGAATGCTTGATTAGAGAGAAGAGGTATGTAACTTTGCGTTTCGATTTTAGGTCGCAAATTGTTAGGTATTACGAGTGGAAGCACAAAAGTGTTTATGGCGACGTTGGTCTTATTACTGATGATTTATTTCGTAATTAGTACTGTATGTGACTGCCGTGTTTGCTCGAATGTTGAGATTTAACCACATTTTGGCTCTACTTTGGGAATCATTAGAAGGAAGTCGTAATAAATTTCATGTTGAAAAAACATAATGAAGATGTTAATTTGTTGCATGAGCTGCTGAAAATGACACCAGAATATATATGCTAATGATATTGTTTTCTTGTGATATTTTATTATTGACAAAGAACTGGTGTCGCTTCGGGTGCTGTGGTTTTTGCTTTAATTCGCTTTAATCCTATTTTTTTTACCTCTATTGTCTATTGTTTATTTACTTATGTTGATGTTGCTGGTAGCAGGCCTGTAAATATGGGTAATACGGAATCAATGTATGAATCCCAAGATAATTTTTACCAACGTCCCCCATCTTATGCTGGGAATTCAGTGAATGATAGCTATCATGAACCCTCACCTTATGCTGGGAATGTGGAGAATACTACATATCATCAACCATCTTCTTATGCTGGGAACTCATCAGATACAAGCTATCATCAATCCTCTACTTATGGTGGGAGTTCAGGAAACACTCGCCATCAACATAAGCGGCAACCCACATATATAGCTGATCATTTCAGTTCACTGGATCAGGTTACCACTGCTACTTTTGCTTAGTCATTTAGAGAGGATAGGCAATAGCGATTTTAGTGGAATAAGGGTAATCAATATTGGTTAACTTGATTGACTGTACCTGGGCTGATGTTCATGCTAAGTCATAAGTATTTGTAGAGGTATCATGCTTATAGAAGATATATTTCAGGTTGTTTCTGCTCTGAGAAATGCTGGTTTAGAATCTTCAAATTTAATAGTTGGTATTGACTTCACCAAAAGCAATGAGTGGACAGGTTATTCCATTTCCTTTTCGATATGAAATTAATATTGTAATGTATACATGTCAGTGAATATAGAAAAGTCTCACTTTGGTAATCGTAGGCAAGCACTCATTCCATCGAAAAAGCCTTCATCATATTGGAAACACTCCTAATCCATATGAGCAAGCAATATCCATCATTGGCCGTACTCTGTCTTCCTTTGATGAAGATAATCTGATACCGTGTTTTGGATTTGGTGATGGTGAGTAGCTGTTTCTGAAGTTAGACAAATGTTCTGTGTTATCTCTTCTGTTGATTTCAGCGAATTTACTTTTGTAGCTTCTACACATGATCAGAATGTGTTCAGTTTTTATCATGATAATAGATTCTGTCATGGTTTTGAGGATGTACTTGCACGCTACAGAGAGATTGTTCCATACTTGAAACTGTCAGGTTTGTTTTACGACATTCTGTTCCTTGCCGGTTATATTTTTCAATTATGTGACAAATATTTGACTTTGCAAGAGAGAGAGAGAGGGCAGGAAGTGTATTATGATTTATTGTGTATGACTAAGCTCATCATAAGTTTAAATTCTTACTTGCCTCTGAACCCAGGGTCCGTTAATTGGGACCTAATCCTTGTTAAGAACAATGATAGAGGATGAGCTACTGGTTCTAGACCTGTTTGATGCTATGGTAATTCTATACATTTTTGGCTAACATAAACCGGAAGAGCTCTTTGACTGAAGATGCTGCAGGATATTTCCTGTATAGACTTCCCAATTTCTAATTCTATGTCATCTCCGTAAACTCTACTTTGACAACTTTTTTCAGATTTGCCCAAGCTCCTTCTAAGGTTAAGGTTTTTGCTTGGATGGTGGATTGGTGGTACAAAATAAGATCATAACAGTAATGAGTTGCTACTGTGCATAGGCCTTGTAGTGCCCTTTCTCCTGACATTTATGTTATGTGCTCGAGATATTACAAAAGAGAAAAGAAAAAAAAAAAACTTGAAATGTGAAGTAACTTGATTCATAAAGTAAGGAGTTTGTACTGTCTGGATAATCTTGATTCTGTGCACCTTATTTGGTATTCTTCATTTCTATCCAATATCGTGGTTAGGGAGAAGAAAGGACTCTAAGGAGAATAAGGTGGTTTGGTGTTGTTCTTTTTCAGCTCGAGTGTAGTGCGTTTGGCTGGAGAGAAATTTCAAAATCTTTAGCTGAAGATCTCTTCCAACTACTCATCTTGGTGCGGGTAGGCTTATTTTAGCCTTCTTGTAGAGTTCAACTCTTTAGTTGTGTTAAAAACGTAAACTATCTATTAAATATCAACTTAAATTAGCATTGTATCTTGGAATATTTTAACATATCTTAGATGATCTCTTATGAGTGGTGTTTCAGTCGACAAAGAGAGTTCTATTACCTAAACATTCAATGAGTAAGTAAAAGGCTAACCTATCTTCGCGTAAACTTCCTCTTATACCCAAGAACCCATTTCTCGTATTTTGGAGGCAGTTTCTTTCCACCATCTTAGCAGAAAACCACCATACCTTGACACTCAACCTATTCACAAGCAACACTATCTTTGATAACTGCTCATTCTTGTAATGTTAATGTGGGACGTCTTTTTTTCTCATCTTACATTGTTTGGCACATTATATATTTAGTTTATTTTCTGGGATTAATTATTACAAACTTACATTAGGAAGATCTAGCTTGTGGGGGAGCACGTTAGAATACATTGAAAATAGCTTATAATGTGATTATTGTATCTTAAATTATTTTAGAGTATCTTAAATGATATGTTGCAAGTGTTCTTTTATTTCATTATATTTCTTTATTCAATTAGGATTAAGAGTAAGGATTAGTTCGATGTAATTTTTTAATCCATCATCACACACCCAATATTATATTCTATTAGTAGGAGTTTGTTATTTTTCTTTCATCATTCTCTGGCTAAATCCCTAATTTTGACCAGTTGTATTTGGGGAGTTTATATGCAAAAAGACTACATTGATTTTTCAGTTGGTGCATCTTCTTTTTAATTATAACACTTCCCTCATTTACAGGTCCAACATCATTTGCCCCTGTAATCGATGCAGCAATTGACATCGTGGAAAGAAACAATGGTCAATATCACGTTCTTGTCATTATTGCTGATGGACAGGTTTTATCCATTTTTTTTTGCCATTATTTTCTGGTCATGGCATGATTAAATTGTTTTATTCTACTTCTCTTTTTGGTTTTTCTAAAATGTCTTCTTTTTTTAGGTTACCAGAAATCCAGATACACCACGTGGGAAGCTTAGTCCACAAGAACAAGCTACCATTAGTTCTATCGTTGCTGCAAGGTAGACCAACTTCTTTTGTAACCTCTTGTTGTTTATGTATCTGTCCTAAATGTGGAGCAGTTTTGATTATCAGTCACTATCCTCTGTCAATTATTTTGGTTGGAGTTGGAGATGGACCATGGGATGAGATGAAGCACTTTGATGATAACATTACTGAGCGCTTATTTGACAACTTTCAGGTACTTGATAGCACTTGAAAGTTCAATATTGTCTGTTTTCATGGTAACTTTACCTTTGATAGTTGGAGATAAGAAGGATTAGAGTTTGGCATGACATTGGCAAACTTGATAGCACTTCAGCTAAACCAATATCATAGGTTGTAATAATTGGATATTAGGGAAATAAATGTTTTATGAAGCTGTTCTGTTAGTCGAGACTCGAGACAGACAATATGGAGATCTATTGTCTTGAAATTAATAAATCATAAATATTAAATGACTACCAACACGGTTTACCTAATGTCTCCTCTCTCAAAAAAAAAAAGAAGGTTTACCTAATGTCTAAAATGAAGCAAGGACGACATGGGTTACGATGATAAACCTTTTTCCTTTTTTTCACTTATTTAAAATTCTATCCATAACATTCACTAAATTTCCATCCAGGTTCCAGTCGATAGTTTATTTAAGTGTATTTTAAAGTCTGTACTACTTTTAGTTTTTAATCTTTAAACTTGTATGAATGTTAAAAACATAATCTTTTTTCTACAAAAAGAAAAAAGTAAATTTCATTCCCTCCTTTGAGAAAAATATTTAAATTACAATGTCTTCTATTTTAAAATAAATTACACTGCCCTCTCGAGAGAGATTAACATATATTTTGCTCTAGTTTATTTTATTTAAGCGAGCCTTTTAGGGTTAGATGTTCTCTCTACTACTCTCGGCGTCATTAACAACTAGTTTTGAACCCCTAGTTTCAGATTTAGGGCTTTTATAAGATAAAATGAAGATTTTTGGGAAAATTTCCAAAATAATTAGTGTTAAAACTTTAGTTTTAATAGTTTTAATTTTCTAAGGTCTTAAAATTGGCAATAGGGTGTTCAAAATGAGTTGCCAGTGACAGTTAAAAGTTGTAGAGAGGGAAAATGTCTCCGGAGGCTCGCTAATACGAAGTTCCTCAAAAGAAAATGCAATTCACCTAAATAAAAAAGTAGGAGAGACACATCTTTTATTGTTAGGTTGAGCACATTTAAATTCCTAGATGTGGATGACAACCAAGCCTTTGCCCACTAGGTGGAATTGGTTGCATAGACCAAATAATGTCAGATAATTTTTGTAAACCATGTTTATAGTTAAATCATTAACCTCTAAATCCTTTTAAAGGTTTTTGAATATAGTTTTTTTCTATATCCTACATCTAGCAATTTGGCTACCTTCAATATAATTTACTCTCCTAATAGGGATTTCTACAAGTCTTCTCTAAACATATCCAAATCTCGTAAGGCAACATTCTACCATTTTTATTTTTAATTCTTCAATGTGAAAGTGACAATTTTTTAGGTTGTTAACAAAGAATTGAAAAATATATTAGCCAAGTATTTTGTAGTTCTGTGAAAATTGTTGTATAAATTATTATGCTAATTCTAAGGCTTCCTGACATAAAAATTAAAACTAGTAATCCTTCAATTTCATGCTCCACTTAAAACACCAATCTGGCACTAGTAATTGTTCTTAGAGCTCTTCTGTGAAAATAACAATACCTTGGTATGTAAACTAGTGGTGATCAGTTTGAAAGTGTGACTAAAGGACTGGATAATCTCAATAACCCATTCTTAATTCCTTTATTATTATTATTTTCCTTCTTTTATTGATGAAATGGTATATTAACTAATTTGTTTTCCTTTTTATTCCCTTAGTTTGTGAACTTCACAAAGATCATGTCCGAGAACACAGAAGCATCAAAGAAGGAAGCAGCATTTGCCCTTGCTGCCCTTATGGAAATTCCATTTCAGTATCGAGCAGCTCTAAATATACAACTTACCGAGTAAGCCCTGAATTAAAGGTATGATAAGTCTATTGTATTCAAGGATCCCTGACTGTCAAATCCATCTGATGTAGTAGAGAATCAGTTCTTCATCCACATAAAAGACCTCTCCCTCCACCCAAGGAAGTAATAGATCATGATAATGCACGCTTCGCGATTCCTCAACTGACAAATTTTGAACCAGTGGAACCGACGGCTCCAGCTGGTGCCGAACCAGTATGTGTTCCTCGCTCCTCCCTGTTAGCTTAATTTTTATTCCCATAGATTCATGTTGAGATCACTGAGCCTATGAAATTAATGTCTTTCCTTTTTTCAAGGTATGCCCCGTTTGCCTAACCAATCCGAAGGACATGGCTTTTGGATGTGGTCATACGGTAAGTCTGTTTAATGAACCTATTATTGTTTATAGCTAATTTTGGGTGAATAGTAGAAATTGAAGGGAATTTAGGTTATATTTTCATATTCTAATTTCTTGTACTCGATAACAAAAGTAAGAAGAAAAATCGACTAGATGGGTAGATTACATATATCATTATCCTTTTCAATAGATCTCGTACTTTTGATGAAATTTCAAAGGAAAATGAAAAGGATGATCGTCCCCTGCTCGAATCAAATAAATAAATAAGTAAACATTTTAACACTATCATGTTCAAGGATAGATTCAGAAAACATGAGGGGAAGGGTGGGAAAATTTTTTTTTTGACAAATTGATAAAGAGAACTCTTAATTTCATCATCTAAATTTACCTGATTTACCACATTAGTTAAAAAATTATGGTCGCGATATTATTACCTCAGACTTTATCACCAAATAAGAGATTTTGCTACCAAATTAGTTTCTTAGAAAAAACTTAATCCGTCGCTCACCTACAAAACCCAACATAGTAGATAGTTGGGTCTTTAAGCATATTTGTTAGGATTCAACTCCTGAACATGTTTGAAAACTTGGTTTAAATACATTTTTGTCTCTTAAATATAGTTGTGCAATTTTAGCCCTTAACATTTAATTGAGCAATTTTAATCCTTTACCTATTGCACTTGTGTTATTTTGATTCCTAAATATTTAATTGGACAATTTTAGTTTAGAGTGTTCCAATTGTAAGATCCATTAAAAATGTAACACTAATGGATAACATGATATATCGATATTTCTAATTAATTTTTCTCTAATATAATTATTTTCTTATAAAAGCATATTAATATATACTAATTTATATTTATGTAAGTATTAATTTACCTATAAATATAATAATAATATGATCGATATTAATTTATCAATATTATAATACTAATAATATATATCATTTGATACATAAATGAAAATTATAATATATGTAATTTAAATAGGTCTACTATTGCATAATTCTAAAACATTATATATATATATATAT